ATGGTAAATGTGTGTATCTTTGTCTAAAAAAGGAGCTATAATGATAGCTGAAGACAGTGGATCTTCAGATCATTGAAAACAGTGTTATTCTTCCTGGTTTCCTTTGACACAGAAATAAATTTGCAGTTGTGAAATGGGGAGCATCTGACTTAACTAGCTCATAATATGAGTGAACAGTGTAAAAAGGTTCAAGTCCCATTCCAGGATATACTAACATCATCAGCACTGGTGAGACCTTAGTGGAATATAAATAGACTAGTTTCAGTAAACTGTTCTCAAACAGTAACACCAAAGATTAGAGAAACTGGGGAGTTGAGAAACAAAACTGTAAGTTTGGGAGAAATGACCTGCAAGGAAAGGTGGAAGAACTTGCAGTAGCTTAGTCTTTTAAGATTGCCTATTAGCACTGCTGTCTTTTCATTCTCCTTGTCCTGGTGGTGGATCTGTCCTTTGACAGAATGCTTCTTCATGTTCCACAGTTCTCAAATGCTGCGGTTGCCTCAAAGTCCCCTTAATTATTTAGTGACACAAGCTCAAGAGGACTCAACGGAGGACTGGAAATTAAAGGAAGGAATCGAAAGGTTGTTACTGAGGTAGTGCTGGAAAAAGGGAACAATTGATGAATAGGCGGGTGGAAAAGATGGTGGTTTGCTTCATTTCTTGAAAAGCACTGGAATATGGGGACAGGAACCAGATTTTCTCTGTGGCTGTAACAAGAAAAAGGGTGAATTGCAAATTTTAAAAGATTTCCATTTGTTAATGGAGTAAAACCTTGCAAGAGGCTATCAAATGAGCTTCCAGAATATCTCTTTTTGGATGTTTTGAAAGCAGACAAAGCAGTACAACTTTTGGTAATGAATCAAGTATAAATAGATTATTTCAGCTCAAAGACTCGACAGTCCCTTCTCTGCCATTGTCAGAGGGACAGCCTGCACAGGATTCTGTGGCATACAGTATTGTATTCAACTTCAGTGATGAAGATGAAATGCTCATTAGTGCTGAAATAATTTTTCAAAGAAAACCTGTGTTGGAAGTTCAAAAACATAGAACTTACTGGAGATTTAAAATATAATATGTAACGTTATTATTGAGATCAATGGAGGTAAAAGAACAGTTATAACTTTATTTCTTGAAGAG